CTGAAACTAACTGACTGTGAGAAAAAGGATGCAAGAGTCATATAACTAGAAGAGCATGCAAGAGGGAGCCTGAATCTTTAGCCACAGGAAGAGGTCCTTGCTTTGGTAGAAAAGCAGTCCTGGTCCTGCTCCCCACATTGTTTAAGCCCTTTACATTCAATGGCTATTGGATAAAATGAATCAACATTATTGGGAACACAGTAGATGTGCTTCATGTAGACACAGCTTTGGGCTCCAGGACTCCTGCAACCCTTTCCTCTGTGTAAGCCCAGTCAGCTGGAGGAGCAGAGGATCTTCTCAGTTCTGCCTACTTCACACATTCAAGTGGTCAGGACACTTTTCAGGGCAGTGGAAGATGTGGTTTAAGATCCCGCTGAGACTATGTTGAGACGTCATTATGACACAGATGTCCTCCTTACTAGCGTTGGACCACACGTCAGGTAGAAAATGGAGGGCCAAATAAGATCAGCCTGTGGCATATGGTAGCTGGCTCTGGATAGGTTAAAAAAAACAGCACATCTCCCAGACTGAAGTAGAATTCCTGCCCTGTGGTGAGAGGCCTGGTGTGAGGTTGTTCCACATCTGGACATAGTCATTGTTACAGGGTACCGTCTCCAGTGGTTGCTGTGAAGCCCCTGGAGGCAGAAAACAAATCCCTTTTACCCTGCTCTATGGGAAGTTTGCCATTCTTTCCTGCCATACCTAGAAGTAAAATGGTTATTTAAGATGCGGAGGCTGTCCTCATCTTAATTTAATGACCACCTGGTGTTTGTGTTCTGCACCTTATAGGTTAATTGCATGACTCCAATCTTCCCCTACACCACGCCCCAAGCCTCACAGATGTCATCCTCATTGATGTTGTCTCCTTATACACGCAGCCCTCTGCTGGGCCCTCAGATCTCTGTCTTTCCCTCAGCACCTCCCCTTAGTCTCCCACATGGGCCCAATCTGAGCTGCCAGGCCCATTGGTCTCTCCATGGACATTTCTGGATCCTGCACTTTCCTTGGACACCTCTGGGCCTTTGGACACCTCTGACCACAGGGTATCATCTCCAGCGGTTGCTGTGAAGCCCCTGGAGGGCAGTTTGCCCTTCTCGCCTGCTACACCTTGATGTAAAATGGTTATTTAGGTTTTGTGAGGCTGCCCTTCTCTGAATTTAATGACCACCTGGCGTTTGTGGTCTGCATTTTATGGGCTAATTGTGTGACTCCAATCTACCCCTACACCACACCCCAGGCCTTGCAGATGTCATCCTCATGGCTGTTCTCTCATTGCACACACAGCCCTCCCCTGGGCCCTCAGAGCTTTTGGTCTTTCTGTCAGCTCCTCGCTGGGCCCTCAGACCCCTCAGTCTCTCACTCGGCCCCTCTCTGAGCTTCCAGGCCCCTTGCTGTCTCCCTGGATCCTTGGATCCCTGGATCCTTCTGGTCCCACACTTTCTCTGATCCTTTCTACTCTCACTCTT